GGCCAATTTCAAGGCGATTAGAAAAGGAAGCGATGAGAAGATAAGTTTATTTTCTATTTAAACATAAAAACAACATTATTTTAATAACAACTAAAGGTGACATAGATACTTTATTATGGTATAGTATTTAAATGTATGCCTGAGAAACACATAATATTGCCCCTTTAAAGGGGGCAGTATTATGCATTTTCCAGGAGCATAGTTCAATTCYACAAMAATCAAGTAACTGTTGCCTTCATCTGTTATGAAAATTAAATTTGACTTTGCATCATAGCCTATCTAAATGCCTTGAAATTAGGGGTGCTCTGTGGGGGAGGAGCTTTGTGTAGATAGGTGGTGCTTTGTACCAGCAAGTGTTTAGGCAGCTTCAAATGGCTACCACTGGAGAGTCAAGCATTTCTCAAACATCCATGAGTCAGGAACTAGGGAATGACATTATTACATGATAAAAAGCTCAAAAAAGTCAATTTTGCATAATACCCCACTCTAAAGCTAAACATTTTACAGGCAGCTCCTTTTTGGGGTTGATGGGGTTGATGAAGTGGCTCAAAAACCCATCTGATTTCTGTTTTGTTGATGTGTAGTTATAAAAATGTTTGCCACATTCTCTAGTTTTCAAGTTGCTATGCTTATTTAAATGTGTTTTATCCTTCTTGTTTTTAAACGGAGCGATATGAGTGTAGCTGGGGGCAGTGAGCTCTGTCACTCCAAGCCGAGGTCTCTGGTGTTGCACACTCAGCGATTGCTCCAGAGTTAACTAGAGAGGCTCCGCCGTCTCTCACTTTTCCTTCGTCCTTGAAGAGACGAGAAGCTGTCAGGGTTCTCATAAAAACCCTGAACGATTGTGTCCGTGCGATCTCCCCATCTTTTCCTACCCCCTTTCCCTTCTTCTCCTTCCAAAACCTGGCCATCTGTCTAATTGTTCACCTCCATAGCTTTAATGCTTTTTACATGCTCCCCCCCTCTTCTTTCCAGGCAATAAACTTTATTTTCTTCGCAAGACTTCAATCTGTAGGGGGAGGGGAGGCGGGCGGGGAGGCAGGCTGCTCACCTTCTTCCTGCTGGATTTGCTCCAGTGGCCTCCCTCTAGCCTCCCTCTGGTCTCCTGTTTCTCTCCCTCTCCCTTCGCCTTTTTCTCCACRTCTCTGGAGAAGTGGATATGTGTTTGTCAAGCTGACACCTGCCCTCATCTTCTCTGCTGGCCTTGCACACATGGAGAGCTATCCTATTGAGGAGGCCTCCCTGACCTTGTTTAAAACTACCTAAACTGAACTTTGCAACTTCCCACCCCCACACACATATAGACAATATTATGAAGTTTTCTCTTTTCCTCTTAACTTTTTATAAGCATTCAGGGACTAAATATTATTATTATTATTTTGAATAAAGCAATTTTAACTTGTGAATATGTGGACCGTGTGAAAGTGACTAGAAGTATAAATGCATATTGCACATATAAGTCATTAAATTAGACAGTTGTCTCCTCTCACCTGTGATTACTGCTGTGTGCAGATCATATAAGCAGGTACCCTATAATCATATCTATAATAGTCATAATGAGCCCTTTAATGTTCTGTAATAGCATCCGTATAATGGTATAGAGTGGCATCAAGAGAATAATTCAGGCATAGATAATGGTGTGATAGCATGGTTTTACCCTTGAGTCACAACATTGAATTTGTTGTGTGTGCGCATGTGTTTTTGTGCGCGCGCCTGTGTGCATGCGTGTAGAAATACACCCCCAGGGCAGTTAAGGTGTCTGTAAAAATGCCTGAAGAATCACATTTCCGTCGAGAGGTGCTCTTAACCCTTTGTTGTTTCCGTTGCGCTCCCTGCTCGGCGGTACGTCCTTGCTGTGGGTGTCTTACACTTAGCTTTTGCGGAGCCACATGCGCGCCGAGGAAACGCGTTCACCRCGTGACGCCCATGTTCAGGAGATCCTTTCGGTGGGGAAGAAGCTGAACGCTCTTCTGGGTGTTATGTGGGCTGACAGCATTCCTTAGGGTATAGCGAGCAGGACAAAGGAGAGAGTAGAACCCAGAGAGCGATTCATGAGGAATGCTTCCTGGGTTCAGCGTGCGCCRTCTCACTTCATGCTGCACGCTCTTGTGCTAACATATGCCAAGGTCCCTCGTGAGCTCCTGTGTAACGGGGAGATTGAACCAAGCTTGTTTGTTAAAGGGGGCTGATAAARATGAAACGAGGTGAGAAAGAGGAAAGAAAATGGCTGCGAGTTGATGCTCTTGACAAACATGGTTATRTACCATTATTAAAGAGATATACCCCTGTAGGCCTGCGCGTGTCTCTTCTGAGGCCTTTGGCCTGCAGCAGAATGCTACAGTGGCATGAAGAGGATGATGAATATTTAGCTTGTCTCCTCCAGTGTGTAAATGCAGCTATGCATTCATTTCTTAAGTCATTTATCTTTTTCTTCTCCTCCCCTATCCCCACCCTGTCTCCCAACATATGGTGTAAGATGAGCCACACGCACACACAAATGCACACTGAGAGCACGCATGCACGACATATAGACTTCTATAGAGCCTTTGTAGTCCTTTCAGAAACAATGTAATTTGCACTGCAGTCGCTGCTTGTTTCAGTTCGTTGTAGAGAAAAAAGAGGCTGCAGAGGAGGTGAAGGTGTTCTGTTCCATTCCACATTCTGTTACATCAAATTAAAAATTGCTTTTTCCTACTCGCATCAAGTATTTTTTTGTAGAACTTTACCTGACGTGCTTSTTTAGATGGATGCTTGTTTTCAAGATTGGATTTTGCTCTTAATGTTTATATTTAAATCCAAACCTGCAATAAAAAAACTTTTACTTTTTTGTTAAGTTTTTGCTTAGATGGCTTTTCCCCCCTATAATGGTCTGATTTAACAGATTAAAGTATAAGCTATGAAAAACAGTTTGAAGACACAAACCTGCTGTTTTGTTGTGTGAAAGGGTCATTAAGAGTCATCAGACAGACTTGATTTTAACAAAGAAGGGTTAAATTTAGAAAATCACATTTTTTTTTTGTTTGTGTCGATACATGTAGATAATTTCCAACTATGCAGATACAAATTTATTTTCATCCCCCCCTCTTCTGTAGTGGAATAAACATATTGTACTTTTCTGTCATTGTGATGAACCAAAATAAAACTACTTGTTTAGAAAAAAAATACATTAAAACATGAATATGGTATTGATATGCTGATAAATTTGCCTTCCTTTGTCTGTGTTGTTTAGCAGATTAAAATAATGAAATATTTGACCTTTTAAAAGCCATAGTTTAAAGTTAAAGGACAAAACGTATGACAAAATTGCTCGACACGATCTGTTTGTAATCTTCTGTGGGATGGTCATTGTGTTGTGTTTTCTGTCTCAACAGCACAAAGCGAGAGTAGAGGCCATGATGTGCAACCTGGCTTCTCTCCGGAGTGTTCGGGAGTTTGCGGAGTCTTTCAAGGCCAAAAAACTGTGAGTGTGAATCTAAATCTGACGTTTTTAAAGTTTTCTGTTTAACCTTTGTAAGATTTACAAAACTTTTATCAGTCTACATTTACGTTTTTTTTTCATGAGATTAATCATTTCTTGCATACATGGCATTTATTAGTCATTTTTTGGCTTTTTATTTTTCTTTCTTACAGAAAATAATTAAAGACACTAATTTTTTGGTATCAAAAAGTGTCTCTTTTTAAAGAGTAGTTTCTGTATTTATCACTGTTATCATGCCATAATTGAGGGCTAGCTGAAACACTAGTGATGAACACCATATGGATCAGGCCTCAGGAGTGAGTGTGTGTATTTTCATCACATTTGCTTGACATTGCTCAAACACTTTCTATCATTTATTTTGTTGTGGTCAGCTTTTACAGGATGCGTCTTGCGTTCGGCGGTCGGTCGTCCCGTTGCTATTTTGGGGTCATGAACACTGTCATCCGCCCGCAGGTCTCAATGCAGCGACGTGTATGTGTGTGTGTTTGTGTGTTSGTGTCAAGGGAGCCCTTTGGGGAGAGGCAGGGCAGCCATCGCCCGTGGCAGCCCTGGGGCAGGGTATGGCCATCCAGGGCACACGTCTTGGGTCACAGCCAAACTCYGTGGTGGCTCCCTTTGCTCCGTTTCTTAAAGTTTTCCTTCAGCTCTTCCTCGAATCCTTTAACTCTTCTGTTCCTATAATTGCTCTCCTACATTTTTAAATTTTGCTAATTGTTTATCTGCAGTTGCTCTGTCTTTCTCTCATGTTGTCTCCATCTGTGTCGTTCTCTCTTTACCTCAGTATTTTGGCAAGGTTGTATTTCTTCATTAGCCGTGCTGTTTGGGGGGGAGTGGGGGGACTCCCAGGGGACGTCAGAGTACATTAATTCTCATCAGAAGGCGAACAGAGCAGAGTGGAGGCTGGGAGCTCTGAGCTGTGAATGGCACTGGGCAGCTGTCTGAGTCTACCACCACTCTATTACTGCACGTATGTCTTCAGGCATAACACACACACACACACACACACACACACACGTGCGTGCATACACACACACACACAACAAGCACATGTATGTGCATACGTCCACAGCCGTGTTCAGACACCTCTGTGTGCACAGATGCACACACACACACGTTTGTAAACACGCACACAATAATGCTCCTGCAGCGTGTCATTGACAGGTGAAATGTAATCAGAGTCTTTTTCTTTTCGTTCTCTCGTTTCTCACTCTCTTGCTTTTAAGTGCTTTAGTCAGTGGCTTTCACGCTGCTTTGTGTTCCATTGACCCCGATTCTGCTTTAATTGCCTGTCCTTTGAAATGAAATTACCTGGATATTGATATTGTTGAATGCAGTGCGATTTCATTGGGACGTAATTGATGGAGGACGCAGCTGACAGAAAGCCCTAATACAATTTCTACTGAACGGTCCGTAATTAACACGTGCAATTTGTTCTCACCGTTGATCTTTTTTTTTCTCCTCTTCCTGCATTTATTCTGCTCTCATTTAAAACAGAATAATTGTGTAAATAAAGTTACCCTTTGTTTTATGGTCACTTTCTGAGCAATATTTTAAAACTTTACCATCATTTACTTGTGGTTCATAGGTTTAAATATGGGTCAGAATGAGTGGAGTTCACATATTCACACTGGATGTGTGTTTCCAGTTTCCCTCTTTCCAATAAAGTGCTGTGTTAATGACCACCAGTCTGAGCCCTGCTCACACAGGCAATCTCTTCCTGCTGGCCTACATTATCATAGAGGTCAGGGGTCACACCCACGGGGGTTATTTAAAGTAAATATATAAAYGGATGTCTCCCTGTTTGGTAGTTAACACCCTCGTTTGACCAGCGCTGAGATTGCACAGTGCTCACAGTTTTGTGCGAGGCCTTAATGTGGAGAGAGGGACTCGGGTATGCAGCAATAGGCCTATTAAAGACATTCATTAGACCTACGCTTATGAGAGAGGGACTAACTGGTGGGCAGTTGAATTAACAGGCCTTTTACATTACAAGCAGACTCACCAGAGGCCCGTCTGAGTAGTGTGGGGGAAATTCTCTGCTAGTCAGAGAAAAGTTGCGAGGTTTTTCATCATAAATTTGTGATTTACTTTGAGTGACGTACCGGATTTGCCCCTCTGTCGTGACAGAAAAAGGTCACAGCGTTTAATTCCTAAGAGGGGTTACTGGAATAAAGATTAGTTTAGAGTAAAAGCTTTAGTGAAAGGTTAAAAACTCGGGTCAGGAGTTCATTCCTTGGTGTTATTGCAAAGCCCCCAGTGAGCACGTTGAGGACTGAGCCAAGAGTTTTTCCTTGTGTAGCACAATGATGCTGTACTTCACAGTCTATTAGAAAACAGAACTTTGGTCCAGAAACAACTGAGGTACGTTGCTGTCTTTTAATCAAAGAGGAATTTTGCAGAAGAGTGGGAAATAACAGCATCTTTTAACTTTTCTATATTGTTTTATCAGTTTGGATGTGTTTTCCCCTCAAAACCATTAAGTTCAACTTCTTCAACTTCTTGTATTTTGGATGAAAATTTAAATACCCCTATGCTAGTGTGTTGATTTATATGCTGAGGTTGGCATTCTTTAAGTTGACTCACGCCTAGGTTTGTGCTCTTTAATGAACCTAGTGTGTTCAGAGGCCTGAAGGTGATCGTACAGTACAGTACTATGTAATAGCATGGGATGGCTCATTATAGAAAGGCATAACAATTCACACATTAATTTTCCAGCATCCAGTTTTTAATTAATCCAGTAGGCAGTCTTAAACACAGGGTACACAAATTGCCTTCGGCCTCATAATTAATTCTAATGGAAGAAATTAAAAATTGGTGGGGTGTGTTTGGATTGTTCGCCTGTGTTACTGTGCTTTGGAGCTCATTGGAGCGTCACTGTCACCGACAAGGATCTCTCACTCCCTTGACCAATCCTGTAGTCTCCTTTCCCGTGCCACGTGAAAAGGTAGAGCTACTCTTTCARTCAGTGAAAATCCAATGCACGTGAAGACCTATTAAACCAAATTTTATAGGCCTCGAAGTCAAAGGCTTGTGAGCACATTTTCCTTGATTTGTTTGGATTCCTCTGGTGGTGGATTTGGTTACTCAGTGCCTACACAGTACCATCACCCGTTACTTCCACCACTGGTGTGTTTAAATGATTTGCGATTGCTTTTCATTGAGTTGCTGCTCTTGGATCCTTGCCAGCTGTATTTAGTATCTGTGGTACTTGGGTACCAAAGGGAGTTTTAATATAAACCTCAGTATCATATCAAGATTATTGATGCTCTGTCTCTGTTGACCTCAAGCATCTATCTTTCCATTTTCACTTCATATATTTTACTTCCGTTTCTACATCCTATTAAGTATCATTATTTCCACTATATAATTATTAATTTTGCTGTATTTTCATGTTCTCTCTTACTGTAGACCTCTGCACATTCTGGTTTGTAACGCAGCCGTGTGCACTCAGCCCTGGACCCTGACCGAAGACGGCCTGGAGTCCACCTTCCAGGTCTGCCACCTTGGTCACTTCCTCCTTGTGCAGAGCCTGCAGGACGTCCTGCGTCGTTCAGCTCCTGCTCGGGTTGTGGTTGTGTCCTCGGAGTCCCACAGGTAAGTCCAAGTAACTACAGAGTGAATACAGAATCGTTTATTGTCATTCACACAACATCAAGATGAAGTGCAGAATGAAATGTGCAGTTTAGAACATCCGTCCGGAGAAACACACACACAGGACAAACATGGGGGAACGAATGTCCAGGGTCTTTCGCAGCGTAGTGCGCTACCTTTGCAGTTTAGAATACACACACATAGGAGGGATGAGTTAACAAAAAGAGCTTTGATCCTGTGTTTTATACAGAAAAACACACAAGCATACGCTCAAAAAAACTACTCTGCCGACAGTGCAGACAGCTAAGGAGGGGAGGGGGTGGGGGGTCAAAACATATGGGATGAGGAGGGATACAGGGAGCCGGTGATGTACAGGGCAGACTTCGTGCCGGAACCAGTCAGAGGCCTCCAGAGTCCAAACCAGTTATTATCAGTCAGAGCACAGGTCACCAGAGTTCGGTTCTCTGTTCCATCCAATGCTGCCTTCAGATTGATCCCAAACACAGATAGAATGGGTAGGGGAGGGTGGGGGAGTCGAAGCTTTCTTCTCACGTGTCATTCCAAGGAGGTTTTTATCAGCCTGTGACCAAAGTCGCTGCTTTGGAATCTAATGATATACATAATTGTTTTAGGGCAAGCAGCCTTTCTTCACTGTCTTAAGTCTTAACTGCGCCTCTGTATTGCAAAAATACCAATGTTCCAGATCTGTTTACTACCTCGCCTCTCCTGTATCAAACTTCACCCAGGTGACATCTCACTCCTCACGGTGGGCACACTGCTGGGCTGTGATCCTTGTCAGCACCACAACCAGTCTGCGACTTAAATCTCCCATCATTTGAGTCTGTGCGTTTGCAGTACGGGAAATCCCATCCAAGGTCCCAGACAGCTTTTCACAGGCCCGGACTGCTGTCAGGATTGTTTCCATTTTCCGATAAATCAGGATTCCTCCACAGCCGATCAGCAGAAATCCGATTATCATAAATCTGAATATAAACAAATCTTCGATGTCTTCAATGGAAACAGGGGCCAGGCAGATCAGGTTCCACCCCCAGCTCCTCCTGGTCACATGCTCGGCAGCCACGGTTCCACTGAGATAGCTGCGCTCCCCTCGCTCCAATTTCAGAGTGGAAAAAAATAGTGTTGATTGCATTCAGAGACCAGTTGACCAGATCCATAGTTGTTTTGTTGTCGAATGATAGGTAGCAGAAAGGCTTGATCCAGCAGCAAAGCAGGGAAAAAGGGAGGTTCGGGAAAGAGAGCAAAAAGCATCCAACTCCTCTGAAGGCCAAGCAGAAAAAAATGCTTTATTTTGCATCATTGGGCCTCATGCAAGAACATGTTCRTATTCTTATCCTAAATTTCTCTTACTTTTGTTCGTACGAAGGGTTCGTACGAACATGTCACGTCAGATTCAACAAACTCTTCTTTCTTCAGGAAAAGGGTGTAAATGAGCTGAGTAAATTCCACCTTTCGTATCCAGCTGCTCGTGCACGCAAGAGGAGATTAGCATAATTACCACCCCAAAAACACCATATAAGGCAATGTTTCCTGCCTCAGATACAAGTGTCCATTCATGAAAAATGACAGCGAAAACTAAAAAGAAAAACTTTGCGAGTTCAGAGATTAAAGTCCATCTGTCAGAGATCCAGAAAAGAAAGTCTGTCATTTTTAGCAGGTAAGCTGTGGAATAAAATGAGCTGCTAAAAGTATAAACAACTGTGTTAAATCATTTTCATTTATTCAGAAGACACACCGTTGCGCGGTCGCTGGTGGTCTCAGATGCGGGTTTGAATAAAGCATTTTAAAATGTTTTCAAAATATTTCTGCCACTTTGGAGAAAACCCAGGTCTTGCTAGAGGGATTATATATCCCCTCTGGCCTGGGAACGTCTCGGTGTCCCCCAGGACGAGCTGGAAGGTGTCGCTGGGGAGAGCGGGGTCTCTCTCCTGCTGCCCCCAGGACCCGATCCTGGATAAGCGGCAGAAAACGGACGGACAATTTATATTGTTAGTCTAAATTATTACATTTAAAATTATAACTCTAATTCAAGCAGAATAGCCTATTGTCAACATAATTATGGAGTGTAATTTATTTTCAACTTAAAATATCTTCAAACTAACGAAATATAAAGTTATTAGTGAAGAAAATTCGTCTGAATAACAGCAGACTGACTACTCGTAAAATATACGACAGTCGTAAATGGTCGTATAACCCTAAATTTGGATTATTTTGTCCTCTAATTGTACATACAGTAAAACACTGTACACAGGCTACATAATGGAAAACAAACATTTCTGAATCTAAAAAGCTTCAGTTCCCATTCTCTTCCACAGTTCGGCTCTTCTAACATCACACTGTTAGAGTTTAAAAAGTATATTTTTAAACCACCCTGTCTGGTCTCCAGCTCTTCTACTTGCTGTTAAAAGTGCCAGACTGGTTAGTTTTAAGGACAGAATTGACAGATAAGACTTACTGGGTATTGTCAAACATGACAGCCTCACTCACTGAAACTCATTTCCTTCAACACGCTGTCACTACAAATCAAACGTATCATCAGCATGATGGATGGACTTATCAGCTAAAATTTACTTTGATCAAGTATCTGCTGCTTTCGGTCTGACCCCCTGACTCAGCCTCTCTTTCCTTCCCCCCCATTGTTCTTTGAATCTGTCTTTTTTATTTTTTTGTTAAGCAACTCCACTCTACAGGCTTGTGTTTTTCATACTGTATGGCATGATGTCCTGCAGTGATCTTTGAGCTCAAAGCCCTGAGCCATGTGTTTCAGTCAGTCTCTGTCTGTGTGCAGCATTGATTCTGGCTTCAGTCAGTCAGACGGCCGAGCAGTGATTGATTGGAGCTCTGGAGAGTGACCTGGGAATGAGGGAGCATACACAGAGTCATTCTAGCAAATCAAGCTGCACCATTATTACAGGATCCCTCATTCGAGCCATGATAAAATACCATACATGAAAGATTAGGAGAGGCGTTTGGACACTCGGATTTATTTTGCAAGCTGTAAAAATAAAAGTGTTTGTGTGTGTTGGAAAAACGTACTGTTAACCTTTAATTGATTGAAGACTTCCTTAAAACAATTTCTGGTAGGTTTAAGTGCTACTGGAAAAAGTAAAATCTAAAGAAATTGTACATATTGCTTCACTCTTCACCTCTTTCTGCCATCCTAACACATATCCTTACCTTCCCTCCTCACTCTACAATCAGCCGTGGCTTTAACTCCTTCAAAGGGAGCTTATGAGAGTTAGTTACTCTCGAACACAGACTAGTAGAGGAAAAAAGAGGAATTTTAGACAATATCTCATATTGCATCTCCCGTTCTGTCTCCCTCATTCCAGACTTATATTGCATCTTCTGAAGTTGCTCTGTTTTTTATTTTTTGTTTGTGTTTTTTACAGTTTCTACCGATTTCCCGTTCATTCACTTAGCTTTCCCTCACAGCCAGTGTGTGACCCCTGACCTAGCAGCATATTGTATTCCCTAAGCTCCTTGTCATCTGGTAAATCATTGACCTGTGAGGGACAGGAATGGGTAAGGTGGACATTCACGTAATGGTTAGAACATGTTATCAGTTTTCACCACAGGGGCTTACTGTGGAATTGACTAAAAACCAGTTTGCTTTAGTCTGTACTGCTTCGAATTTGGTCAAACAAAGATGGATAATAGCCGAGATGAAATTACCTCTAATAGATCCAAGCTGCAGCACTGGCAGTGTACTTTTATGTGCACTGTAAAATGATTGCCACCAAAATATCTATTACACTGAGTGCAAAGTCTCGTTTAAATCTAACTAGAAACAAGTTGAAGATATTGTGAAAGCAAATCATCGGTGGGCGGGGTGGGATTGCTCAGGCAATTGATTTATCAACCTCTACTTCCTAAAGTAGTWATGAAGTTGCAGCACATGAAATGAAAAGCCTGCAGATGTTGTAATTTAGCCAAGCAAGGATGTTGCGGAAGGCGACAGTAAACAAGAGGCAGCGAGCTTGTAAAATCACAACAAGGAAACCAGGTGACGTTTTGATTGGTTGTTTTCTAATGACTGGATTAATATGTAGAATGTGTTGCGCTGGTTTGGAGCTCCTCTCTCTCTCTCTCTTGAGCACACACAGTGCGTTTTTTGTGTCCACGTGTTGTGATGTGGGTGCCACTGCATAATAACACGAGTAGTGTAATGTTTAAGGGGCCTTGTCAAACATCTGGAGTTTAACAGCTCTGTCGCAGGCAATTAAAGAACATCATGTCACGTCTTAGATTTGTATGCAGCCGGTACCACACATCTGCTGTCAGAAAGCCTTCACAGAGAGGCTGGAACCAGAATCTAGACTCACGCGCCTCGATGTGAACTCCCTTTCAGGTTCACAGACCTGCTAGACTCGTGTGGAAAGGTGGACTTGGCCCTGTTGTCCCCCGCAAAGAAGGAGTACTGGTCCATGCTGGCGTACAACCGCGCCAAACTCTGCAACGTCCTCTTCAGCAACGAGCTCCACCGCCGCCTTTCACCTCATGGCGTGACCTCCAACGCAGTGCATCCTGGGAACATGATCTACACGTCCATTCACCGGAGCTGGTGGCTGATGACCTTCCTCTTCACGCTGGCCAGACCTTTCACCAAGTCTCTGGTAAGAAAGCGAGCTTCGATTAAAAAAAAAGTGTTGAGTCACCATGTGTCTGATGTACAGCAGCTCGACCGAAGGCCCGCAGAATCCACCACAGTGTCGTCTTTTGTTGACTTTGATGTGAGCCTTACCGAGCCTGTATTTGTTTTGGCACATTCTTGGTAGCAAGAACAGGAACAGGATGAAGAGGGGGGCCGATCTACAGCATCCTCAGGGGGATACTCTTCTTTCTTAGATAGAGGGATTCTGTGGTTTGTTTCCCTCTTCCTCCTGTGACTGTTTATTTAACTCAGAAGGACAGTTCTTTTCCCACAGACACAGCAGATCCAGTGGATCCTGACTCCTGATTGCAGTAAATGCATAGCAGAATTGATGCTCTCTTACCACATAAATGACATTTCTCTGTGAGAAATGTTTCAATGCCATGCGACAACCTGAAGAACCCAAATGCTTTCCAATATGTCATTCTCAACCTTGTTTTCAAAGACTTGTCTGAAAGCATAGAGACATCAAACACTATGTCCTAGGATGCTGTTTTTTGAGACACTAAAAGAAAAGACGCTGGTTGCCATGCCATGAGAGACTTGCTTTTTCCCCCCTTCTTTTTTTATGACATTACAACTTTAATTTAGAAGTAGCTGTAAAACTAGATCCCCTCAGAAAATTGACACTTCACCGGGATGGTTGTTGGAGTAACTGGACCTCTGCGCTTCGGGGAGTTTTGTGTTTTTTGGGTCAAGAGCTCCTGGTAGAGTCATTATCTGCTGAAGGAAGGAGCTGCAACTGTTACAGGAGATACAGTTATATACTGAAGCGTTGTCTCCACAATGAAACTACAGCACAAGGGCTTTTACTTTTTTTYATTTTTTTAACTTTGCAGGAGTTGCCCAAAGAGATTAGAGTTTTCCAGTTTTTGTGGAGATTTTTGAAAAATCCCCACAAAGCAGCTCTGTTAAGAAGAAAAACCTTCCCCATCCTAAACTAAGCCTGCATGATACGAGGAAAGTCACTGATGTGTAACGCAGTTGTGCAATACTGCAGGGATGGTGTGATTTCTGATAAACACAAGYAATGAAGTAAAATAAGTAAATACAAACGTTGACCAGCCCATACCTTTTGAATAACGTACAATGTCATCAAAAAAAAAAAAAAAAGAATTTTGAGCAATTTTTTAACCGAATAGGCTCAATGATTGCACGCTTCGTGTGAATCCATGACGTATTGCTGAACATTATAAAAGAAACTTCCGTTAGATTGTTAGAAACAAGGTTATGATTGAACATTCTGTAATATTCCATCATCTAATCTGTACTYTTACCAACCATCGATACTTCTAATGTTAGTACTCATTAAAGTTCTGCATGAAATGTGTGGGACAGTTTTTATAACAATGTATAAAGCTTATCAAACTTTGGATTCATAGTTTCAAATGAGCTATTTTGGCTAGAAATGCTATAATCATTGAATTGAAAGTTTTTTTTTTTTATCTCATCTATGTATTTGCATGTATTCCTATCAACTAGACCTATCAAAGCCAGATCCAGCTACATGATTAATGTCCGTGTGCAGTGTGCTCTCTTAAGTTTTTTCAGTGGATAGCAACACTCTACCCTTTAGGCTTCATAGCCTTCTGATATATCCTTTAGTTTGACAATTACATCTTTCCATTAGCTGTTCTTCATACTTTATCAGTTTGGTGTTTGCACTGAAGTGAAAACGTGATGTGTTGAAAGGCAGCGCGGTGGAGTTTTAGTGAAGCGTTGTTCTGATCCATCATGTTTGACAGACGCAAGGCCTCGGGCYGTCATTTGTCTTTCTGCCTTTTGACATTGGATGAGAGATGAGGGGAACCGCTCCTCRGCGCAAAATGCCACGCTGATCATTTCTTTGACTATATTTTGCCACAAAATCTTTACTTCTTTAACTCAACATTTTTCTGTTTCCTATTTCAGACATGGTCTTTGTGAATTTTTGAGTCCAAACTTTGCTCACTGTATCACATGATTTTGTCGACGCGACTCCTGTGTTCTTTGTGTTTGTCTAAGAAAAGGGCAGGTAACATTTGGAAATTGTGCACACAGATGCAATTAACAAAGCTCCTTCTCCTACCGAGTGTGGCAGTGGCTTTTCTACGTCTCGTTAATTAAATGTAGCGTAGATGTTAGTAAATATTAAAGGACAAAAGTAGAGCTAGTAATTAAATTCGGGTGTGCTGACACAGCAACTAGCTAAAAATTCATGTCTGATCGAGGCCACACACAGACTCGCACACAGATACACTGGCACACCCTTGAGCTGAACATTTGCTCTTATTTAAATCTGGGGTTGATAAGGCCCCTGAAAGTGTATCCTCTTTAAAATCCCACTCCTCGCTGCTTCTGCCCCCACATTAAGGGCTTAATAAAACAGTGATATTATTTCAGTTATTGGTTGCAGGGATATGAAGATGGTATCGCTTTAATTGCTTGCGTATGCTTGCGGGATCCGTGGAGATTGTTCTGGGATGCAAACATAAGCAGAATGTCGACTCCAAAAAACAATCACAAAGCCCCCATGTGTGTTCTTGCGCAAATAACCAGCCTCTCATTTAAAACACAAGGTTTGATTTATAGGAGCACAGGTAGAGTGATATATAAATATATACACACAATTCCTCTGCACAGAAAGACACACATGAAGATAAAAGCCCACAAATTCACAATGTTGAGATAACGAAAATACCTAGAGCAGTTCTAAATCTTTGATTTGATGTAGCCACGTTATCCAGAGAGGAGCTTTTATAAATTTTGTGCTAATATTTGATTTATCATTTTACATTTACCTCTCAGATTTATTTATTTTTGGGCTTTTAACTTTGTGCAAATAAGATAAACACTTTCGTATCCCCTAAAATTTGGGGTTATTTGYGTTCTGGTGTCTTCAAATAAAAGAAACTTCTCTGTTCACAAGCAGCACAGCCCACTCTTCTGCAGATGTAAAGAACTGATTTCATTTTGCTGAGTTGAAAAAGACATCTATAGAGCCATGACATCTTTAATCATCTAAACTATCTCTCACTAACATCATGTTCTCCTCCCCGTGCCTTGATCTGCTTATCGCAGATCGTACAACCAGGCCTCTAACTCTTGTTTTTATTCAGTGTGTTTAAAGTGGGAGTTTTCCTTGTGTTCTTTGGTGTAACTATCAGTATTCAAGGATCTCTGGCCCGCAGTTGTGTGTGTGTGAGAGAATGAGAGGAAAGTCTAAAAGAATAATTAAAAAAGTTAGCTTTGCATTTTTTTTAGTGGCAATTTAAAGTATGTTTGTTGCAAGATTTCAACAGATTCATTGGATCTCAAAGTCTCTTCGATCACAAATGTTGCATGCACTTTGAACCAAAAGTCTGGACTCACATTTAAACAGGCAYATAATAATTTTAAGTGACTGTTGCAGTTATTAGTTGAGCTATAACCTTTGTGAAGTTGTCGCTGTGCTGCTGTGCTGGATCGCTGACCCTGTGACATTTTGTTGACTGACTGATTGCTCCCTCAAGATCAGTGTACCCTCAGGCTCCAAACAGCTGGCCTCAGCCTGCACTCATCAAATGTATACTTTAACTATAGGCACAGATAATGCTGAGCAGCATGAGGATCTGTGTGGGCAGTGGCTTTAGTAGCTCATCATATTCTGTAATGGATGGAGCGAGGGGAGGTGTCGCAGGCACACACCTAAGAGGTCCGGTGCGACACCAAAGATCCCCCCGAGGYCTGGTTTCATCAGCTTTCCACCGCCTTGTCCCGTGCTTCCTAGTGTTTTAGTGTGATTATTTCACCCAGGATCCTGCCTCGGGCACCCAGCCACCTTTTTACATATGCACGGGCTGAACTTTTGACCAGGCACCAGCAGACAGGACTGCCTTGGAGAAACGGTGGTTCAGGCTGGAGATGTAGGACTTCCTCCTCTGAGCGTTTCTCGCTGTGATCAGGAGCTCAGTCCTGCACCTCAGGGGTTAAAACCTGGAGACCGCTCCCGTGAGTGAGACATCAGCATTACCATACTGTATGACAGACGTACAGTGAAGCACAGCAACCACTGTTGCTCTGCTATCAGTTTCTCTCCTGCAGACAGACATAAGGTCGGATGCTCCATCTTACCCAGACGCAAAAGCCCTGCCTCACACCTTTGCTCCCTGTGTGTGTGTGTGTGCTGTTCAGCCATGTGGAAACAAAAAGGAGCAGAGGTCCCATTCTCCCCACCAGCCCTCCTCTTTTCCTCTTTGGGGTTAGATGAGCTGCCAGGGCGATGTAATAGAGTCCTTTTAGATGATTAGGAGCTACACAGGAGGGGGTCAGCCATAGCCTGACTGCAAACACGGCTGCAGCTTTTCTCTTCTGCGGTGGAGACAGATTATTACATATTACGCCGATTGAGAAAACTTGCAGATTTTTTCCCGTTAGCGGTATGTGTTTCAGATCACTTTTTGAGAAGCCAGAAGATATTAATGAGACGTTGCTACCAGACGTTTCCTGCTGTGCTGCTCCGCAATGTACAGAGAAGGCGGAGAGACAGAGGGACGTAAGGAGAGAGAGCTGTGTTTGTAAGAGGATGGATAAAAGCACACAATCCTATTTGGCTGTATTGACATGTGTGTTTCTGCCCAATCCTGTTACTGGGATTATTGTCTACAGAGATACCATTTCATTAAGAAAACGCACATGCTCAAACACGCGCACTCAGAGAGAGCCACAAGCATACACACAAACACACAGAGTCGGTGTACAAAGATGGCCTGAGGCCTGGTTATATGGTCCATTGCACAGGGAAACTGTGTAAATGGTTTATTGTGGATGAGTTGATGTGATGGAAAGCGTGTCTGGATCAATAAAGAACCAATCAAACGCTGACAGTCTGATACTGTATGCAGTCAGTCATCCATCCCTTGTGCCTGCGTACAGTTATACAACATGAGTGTGAAGGAGGCTGGAGCAATATCCCCGCCGAGAACGGATGACGTCGAAGAGGAA